ATTTAAAGAGGGTGACGTATTAACCCAGTGAGTTATTTAGGCTTACGGCCCTCATTCTCTCCGATAAGTATTCACACTTTTGAAGTTTGAAATTATAAAATATTAATATAATAATGGGTAATGATGAAAGTATCTGTAATCCWCTRGGGTTTTTTTTAATTATTTCAGAACGCGTGTCATTTCCTTAGAGCATCATTTCTTTGTTTACAGTCMAACAARCTCRTGCGTTACTATCGAGGTTCAAARAWTCARTYTRTTATTSGAAGTTTGATTTCCATCATGCTTGAAACTTGCATTAATGAAACGAACGTTGTCAATTCAAAATCTGGGATCGGATTAAAAATTTATTTAGTTCTTCACAAATTCGTGCAAAGCCAAAATTGTTTTTACAGTTGTAGTCGTAGTACCATTTTCAAGTTATTTATTGGGTGTGTTGTTTTGTTCAAAAAATCCTTTCACAAAAGAACATTCTGATGTTTTGAGGTAAATACCGGGATTGAAATTAACAACGTTCGTTTCATTAATGCAAGCTTCAAAGCATGATGGAAATCAAACTTCCAATAAAAAAATTAATCTTTGAACCTCGATAGGGTTAAACAAAATATTCGACGAAAAATTCTGTGGGCTGAATACTTTGATTTTAGTTTTTTGATGACGTCACGCGAAAAGCTTGATTTCCAGTTGGATATKTGAGTTGGATTTTTGAATTTTCAATTTATTTAAAATATTTATTAACATTGAAAAAATTTCTTGTTTTAAGTGACCAAAATCTGAATATSGATACCTTATTCTTACTAATTTTCGCGATTTCTAAAAAATATCGCGAAATTTAGAGCTTAATACGCGCGAAAAAAAGATTTTGCGAAATTAGTACACTAATTTAGTAGTTTTAATCAAATTTTTGTTGCAATTGCGAAAATTATGAAGGAAGGAAGGAAGGAAGGAAGGAAGGAAGGAAGGAAGGAAAGAAAGAAAGAAGAGAATGGAGCAACGAACAACCAGAATGACAAAAGCCCTATTTGGTAAACGAGGAGAATTCTCTCTTGACATTCCAGACAAGCAGACAAAAGCAATGATTAAATATTTCTGACATTATATTCAACCATTATATTCAACTTCTCCATGTCACCTCGACTTCATCTGTTCTAAACCTACAAAACATAAGAGAAATGAAAATAGAATAGTGATAAATTGGTGTAGTTGGTAGTGCAACCTCGTTCCCAGGGCCCTCTCACGCAGAGAAGAGAAGACCCTGGCGTTGGCTGGTCACGTGACAAATCCGACACCYAGCATATTCGGGTGTTTTGAAAATACCGCTGAAGAAATAACTGGAGGAATGCGGGCACATTGAATARGCATAAATTARATATGGCTGTCAACTCGAATAAACCGGTTAAGTTTTTAACAGTGCTTTTGCTGTGCACCTGCTGTCGTTTGAACCTGTAGTCAAAAGTTGATCATTTTGTCAACAAACGCTTCGCATTTTCGGCATATAACGGAATCGGTTTCTTCGATTCTTACACCACATGTAGTTAACACTTTTGGTCGCTATTTCTTTTGTAAGTCCAGATTTACCAAAAACTCGTAGTAAGTGGCGAGTTTCGACTTCATTCCCACACAGACTACAAACAGATATGCATGATGATCTTTTTTCTTCCTGTCGGTAGTAAACTTTCTTTGGCGTTTCTCCTTCCTCCATCACTTTTGGACGTACGAGATTACATTTAGATAACA